GATTAGTTTCCACACAAAAAACCCCACCAAAACACAGGAAAATACCCCAGCCAGCCACATGGAACCTGAATGTTCTCTTAGGGGAAATTGTTTATTTATGATACATACACCAGTCTCTGAGCAGAGAGGGCTATGAATGGCATAGTAAAAATCTGCTTTCTAGAATTCACAACCTAAACATTATGATCAGGGTCCCAATAAAACATTTCAGTCCTAAAATTCCTTTTAGAGAGGAATTTAGACAGGTTCCTTTTAAAGGTTAGAGAAAAGATCACAACAAGAAAAATCACTTGCTGTTCCCCTTAGAACTTTCCAAATGAATACGCAATGTAAAGATATCAAAAATCACATATGTCATGAGGGCCTAATTTTCATATTAAGAACCAGAACACATAAGACTGCATAGAGATGAGCTCTCTGATATCCATGCTTACAGGTATGCCTTAACTCTGTGGCATTGCTTGCTACTTATATGTGGCCATGAGATCTCTTATCTGTGCAGCTTGGATTCCCCAGCACCTTCCAGAGCAGGACAGAATGCTTCTGGAATCATTATGGGGGACAAGTTCTTTTCTGCATGGCCACAAGGACAGAAGTTACAGCAGGCTGGTGTTGCTTTGTAATTCTGCCAGTCCCATGCAACTGCTCAGTCTTGTGCATTTGCAGCAGTGTGAAATGAGCCAGGGGTCTTTTGGTGGGACTCTGAAAGTCTACAGTGAAGGTGTTTAAGGTGGGGTCAAGCAATCACGTTACTGCCAGGCCCCTGTGGATTGCAGAGGTGGGCCAGAGTACAGGACACAAAGGGTTTGAAAAAAATCGACACAAGATGGATGTGAGAAACAGCACATACTGCAGTTACTGCTCTCTTCTGTCCTCCAGTTTCTGGAGAACTAGCACAGTGTAATGGAATGCTATAGTTACTCAGACATGGTTGCAAGAGGAAACAAACCTTTATGGATCTCTTCATGGTCCTACTTCAGTCTATCTTTTGCACTGTCGCTCCATTGTGCAAAAAGCCACTGCCTATTCTGAAATTGCTTGTTAGCTCTGTCTAAAAATGTACTATCCTAGACTGCTACTAGACCATAAATCCTGTGGTTAGTTCTGATAAGCCAACACTTAAAACCAGAGACAATAGTGATGAAAGTTTGTGGCTTTAGTGTGAAAATTTGCTCACATACAAACTTGGCTTCAGGGATATGCCTGAAATTACAGCTGGCTCTGGGATTTCACAGCTGGGTTGGAGATACAGGCATAAATATGTGTCTGTAGTTTGCCTCCTCAACGTAGTAATGAAATTAGCAGTGTTTGGATTGAGTAATGGGAGCTGATCCTGGCACACTTTAGGGATTTTGTGCTGTAGCAATCTGGATGGCTTTCTCCTGGCTTAGATCCCTAAACCTTCTTCCTGTGAAACCAAGGCATGGAATGGGGACAAACAGTGGTGGGAGGGGTACTACAAACAGTTGGAATTATCCAGACCAAAGAGCACACTAGGACTCCTTAATCCACCAGTTTAAGCAGAGGTTGTGTTAGCTTCAAAACTTGTTCTTTGTGTCCACAAAGAGACATCTGTAATCATCAGCACTAGAAGCAATTGCAAAGCAAAGGAGGAAATCCAGTATTTAGGCTCTTGCACAGGCTGACACCCATGGACGTGGTTCCTGGTGGGTACCTACAATAATTTCCACAGGCCCATAGAACTACACAGAAATTCTAGCAGCTGCAGAATGGCTGTAGAAGGCTAAAGGCAAGATGATGCAACCTTGAAAGTAATTTGGAGGCCGGTATTGCACGCTTGTTCTGTATGATCACAGCTTACACTCTTTTCACAAATTCTGCAGAGCTGAAAGCAAATGTTTTCATGTGGAGTGGGTCCTGACTACTCTCAAACCAAATAGTAGATTATTCTGTCCAGAAAACATCCCTATAAAAAACGTGGCCAACTTTAAGGGAGGTATTGTATATGTTATACCCAGTCACTGCTAGGCCATATGCAACTCTATTAAAGACAGAATACTTTCTAACACACATACACAGATTATGAAATAACAGGAAACATTCTTTGTTCATACAGGGGTATCTCATTTGTCTCTTTTTTTTTTTTTTTTAAGTGTTTGTGTGAAGTGGCTATCACTAGCATTTGTCTATGAAGAAATTACAATTTACAGTGGACAAAGGCTTAAGAGTCTTGACATGACATTCAATATAAATTTAAATATAATTATCTCTTCTTGATAATATGGGTAATTATATGCCATATAGCTAGCCTGCGTAATCTTTTTTTCCTGTGGATAAAAACTTTGGCAGAAATACTGCTTTCACTGGAAGTGCTAACAAAAGCTTAAACAGACACAGCACTTGATTAAACTCACAAATATTTACAAGGCAAAAAATAAAAGAGAATACCACAGCCTGCTTTTCCAATAGCTAACAGAAAGTAAATATGTTTTTATAACTTTAGAACAGGATGCAAACAAAAGAAAAAAGTCAAGTTACAACGAAAATATAAGCTTCTGTATCACACAGGGAAGAACCCCAACAGAGTTTGTGCATTGTTCTTAATTTTACCTGCCACACCTTGTTCTCATGCACAGGTTGTATTGTATGGCTTGGTACAGATACGGAGAGGTGTGGTTGTCCAAGCCCTGCAATTACCAGAAGTCCCCAGCTTACAAGAGACAGTCCCACCACCTGCTTTACCTGCATGCTGCAAAAGGAGTTGGGGGTGATGAGTGAAGTCAGGTCTTGAAGATGCCTCAGCCTCTGGTTTCACAGTGTAGAAGTGAGTGTCTATAGATTGAAATAAGTACACATGCTGACACTGGACCAGAACAGGAGCTTGAAGCCCCTCCTGCTTGGGATTCATTACTGGTTAATGCAATGACCGAACACATCACTTGCCTACCAGTGTATTTATTCATTTCATGAAATTCAAAATCATTTTTCCTTTGAAATAATTAATTATAACCTGTGTGTCAGAAATAAACAGACTATGATTACCCCTGTCACCTAAAAGACCTTGCTGGTATGTGCCAAGTCAAATGACTTACTGCAATAAGTTGTACAAGCAGGAAAAAAAATAACTAGATTGATAAACTTAGTCGAGGTAACTAGAAATCCTAAAGGAGAAAAAAAAATCCTGAGTAGAACTGCTAATTCTCTAAAGGAACCTGGATACACATGACTTCCTTGGCTCATGGTTTCCCCCATGGGAGTTTGGTCCTTCTTTGATCCCAGAAGTTAATCTCTCATGGTAAAATCACGGTCTTGGAGGATGGCTGTTACCCTGGAGTTCCCTTGGTGTGGCGCAGGAGTGCCTAGCATGTGAGGAATAGGGGAAGTTGACTTTTGGGTTCTGTCTCTGGGTTCTGTGGTCCTCTACAGTCAGGTAATAATCTCTGAAGCTTGAAATCTCTGACACACTTAAGGGAGCCATCTGAAGTCATGCATCACATATAGTATCAGATTGAAAAAATGTAAAAGTCTCCTGAATCGCAGTCCCATGATTTTCTTTGAAACATGAAACTCACAGGAAATAGTGAAATAGCGCTACTCTCCCACTTTTGTAAACAGGTCAAGAAATTAAACTTCTCATATTAATTGATATATCATAGCTGATAAAGCAACTCAGAGCCAGGATGACTGTGAACTTAGGATAAAGGTTAGATCCAGCAAAGCCTTTCACCAAGTGTGTGCTCAGGAGCAAGGAGTGGCTCCACCAGAGACTACCCACATGGCTAAAGCTAAGGCTATACTTAGGTGCTTTGCTTGATGCAAACTCCTAAAATTTAATCTGAAAGCTACAGAAGTTAATGGGAATTTTCCAACTTTTCTTAGTAGTCTTTGAACCTATTTAAGCTAAAAATTGTCTTTCCAATGTATATGAGTTTTAGTTATCTGTGTGACTTATGTGCAAATATCTATCTGCACGTTACATGTACATTCGATGGAATCATCAGTGAACTTTGCAAAATGCTTGTTCTCTTATTGGGTATTAATCCATGACAAGGACATCTGCCCTCTGGCTTTTTGCCACTATTTCACAGTATTTACAACTCTGTGTTTTTTTGTTTTTGTTTTTGTTTTAAAAAAAAGGCCCCACAATTTTTTACCTTGTAATACAGCCAAATTTTATGGATTTATTTGTCCAAAGTTTCTAAATGTAATCTTGAAATCATATGCTAAATTTCTGTAGCTGGTGATAAATCTCCCAAAGGAACAAGTTTCAAGTTGCTTGCCAGCATCTGGAACAAAGTGTTTCTCTTTGAAACATCAGTAGGGCCACAGTGTCTTATTTCATACTGAAAAAAGTTTGCAGAAGTAAGCGAAAGCAGAGTATTTGATTAGCACTCTGAAATTTATCGCTACTTTTGAAAGTATTTTGCGCATTTAAAAGTGATCACATACTCTATCACAGTTATTCAGGTCAAAGCCTGAACATGCCCACAGGAGCACAGCAGGCTTTTAATTTGAGAGAAAATCCTTGGTTTAGTTGAGGAAAAGGAGAAATGTTGCAGTGTGATTCAGCTTTGACTAAGATCTGAATGTTAAGAGGTTTTAATACTGGTAATGGCAAATTACCTTCAGTTATCTTAAAGTGTACACTGCAGGATTAAACATGAGTATGAAAAGATCAGGCAAAAAGCACCCTAAGCTATTAATACCTATTTTTCTACTCTAAGCATATTCTAGCCCACTGATAGCAGAAATGGTCAGCGTGAATTCCTGTCTAATCACCTAACCGTCCAATACTGCCCATAGCTTAGCTATCAATACTTGTATTCCATCAGAAAGGCACTTCTAATCGTAATGCTTTGAAGGAATACAAAGTTCTGGGTTGAACATTTTACCCAGGTCAGTGCTCTATAGAATCAAACATTTTCTCATTGCCAGCTGGCAAAATTTCAGTGATTTCTTCAGAAATTTCAACATCACTACATTTGAGCTGAGTAAGCTTTTTTTTCCTAGACTTGAATTGCTCAACATAAAGGCAACATAAAGTATTTGCTCTCACATAAAGCACTTGCAGAATTCTGGAGACTTGGAGCTCTTTGGAAGTCAAGCATTCCACAATGGTAAGTCAAAGGTTTAGATTTTTTTTTTTTTTTTCAAATGAAGATACAGATAAGTATTTGCTTAAAAACTGCAAGAGAAGGATATTTAAGAGAGTCACCTAGTTACACATTTTAAAATTTGTATATATTCTATTTAAACACTGTAAGATGCAAAGGAAGTAAGGCACCTTTGTGAAGATTACTGTGAATTTTGTTGTTTTGTAGTTCTTTGCAAGAAACTATACACTTACATCACTTGATCTTTCACCTGCTGTTACCCTTTTCTCAGAAATGTTTGTGAAAATACTCAGAATTTTGTAAACATTTAGGACCATGCTTTAAAAACCTACAGATGTGAAATACAGTTTAAAATACATTCCTTTTACAATTCAAAGTGTAATACACAGCATATTTGTCTGCATTTCTCTTTTGATCTATCAGGTTGTGTCCTTTTTCAGCTCTCCAACCCTCCAAATGTGTTTGCAGAATCTGGATCAACTGTTAGGTAATGCTAAATAGATAGAAAGCCCCTTATGACACACATAATCCCCAAAGGTACAGACATCAATTACTACATTTGATGTGAATCTCAGGAATGGTGTAAGTTTTACAGAAGAGGCAGTAGTTTCTCTGAGATATATATATATATATATATATATATATATATAGGTTCAAAAATACGGGGAGAAATTATCATCTACTTCTTTCTCTGCCTAAGCCTTCCTGAGGACTTCTCTATTCTCAGACAAGACTTAGTTGAGCAAAATGATCTGCTATCTCATCCCACTTTCAAAGGCCATTAAATCCAGTTGGGAAGATTATGTTCTGCAAGATGACTGGTGGCATTCTCTTTTTAAAGAGAGCAAACAAGCAAAAAAAAAATAAAATTATTCCTTCAAGTACCTTGCTCACAGACTGCCCAGAACAACAGAACTCTGTTGTTTAACTAAGAGCTTTTGGCATCAGTGTAATGGTAATAATCTCTACCATTTCTAATAAAGGATACTGTTTCTGCGAGTACTTCCTTACCTGTTTGATACTGTCTGTGCTCAGTCTACTTACATGTGGGCTCTTTACTGCCAATGATTTGTTGCTTAGCTGACGTATCCTTTGGTTGTTCCGGCATAAAGCCAGATCAGACAGTGATTGGACACCACAGACTTCCCCTTCAGTTTCTGTTTAGATTCAGTAGAAGTTCCAGAACTTTGGTCTTTAGAGAGGAGCATGCCCAAGTTCATCAGACTAGCATTTCTAGGAATAGCAAGATAAGGACAAATGTTGCAGCAAAAAAAGGCTAAAACATTCACAGAAGACAACTGAGCACAGCAAAAGAAGGATTTTAGTCTTTTCTATAAAGACATGAGTGACAGCAGTAAGGCTTGTGGTAGAACTGGCCTATGCTGTTGCAAAGACCTGGACCAGTTTGGAGGAAAACCATCACACAACTCAAGATGGATGATTAATATACAGCAAGCAGTATCCCAAACATGTTGAGATCATCTGTGGAAAGCCACAATGCCCTGAGCTCACAAAGCCCTGTACAGCTGCATAGCACAGACACCCCCACAGATCCATGCCAAATGCATGTCAAACCTCAGCAGAGACCAGCTGCAATGTTACATCCTGCAACTTCAGTGAACAGTAGTTGCTTAGACATCTTTCTTTGGCCAGTCAGCACAGAATAGCACAGTTTAAGAGTTTCAGTCTTGCTTCTTAACTTCTCTCATTCTGGCTATGGTGCTCAGCATGGCAACTGGCTCTGTTCTACCCCAAAGCCTCAGGAACTCTGAATCACAGAACCACTATGGAAATTAAGCATTACACCTTTACCAAACCACTCCATAGACCTCCTCCTCCCTTTTATTACACCATAAATGTCTCTCAGCCCTGTAAGAAAGCAGTGCATCAAGGATTAAAATAGCAAGGTTTTTTCCACAGCAGACAGAGGAGATTCCCCTTGGCTCACCACCTGCCTAAGGTTCAGGACCTTTCAGTGTCTTTCAACGTTCATGATTCAAGCAAGTCAAGATAGACAGCAGAGCTGCCTAAAAACAAAGCCTCTCACTGCTATTTTAAACTCCAGTTTTAAGTAGCAACAGCCTCTGGAGTTCAGAACAGTAACTTGGAAAGATCTACTCAGTTTAGAGTCTTTTCATGTTAATCTGCAAGTGCTATTAAGAAAATTTAAATAGCTTCCTCTATTGCTTCTGTGTCTGGTCATTCCTAAACTTTTGCCTTAAGTCATCCAGCTTGAGCAACTCATCAAAATAACCCTGTGCTCTCTCATGCTTCTCCAGTCCCTCTGTCCCAGTATAACCACCATTACAAAGTTACACAGGCTTTTTTCAAAAAAGTCCTGGTTCTTCAGCATGTCCCAGGAAACATCTCTAAAGAACTCTTAGAGATGTTTAGATGTTGTCACCACTAGACAAAAAAAGGAGGTCCCATATCATGTCCATACTTGTGCATGCATGGTTTGACAAAATGGCTCACACACTTCTAAGTAGAATGTACAGCACTGGAATCTTGTCCTAAGATACTAATTGGTGCCTCTTTTCTCTACCCAGCCACCTACTTCAAAAACTTACTGGTCTGAGATCTCCACTCCACTGCCAAATTTGGAGAAACTTCTGTAGCCAAATGTGAAGCAATGGGATGCTATACAGACAGTGATTTGCTAAAGGAAAAGCTAAATCTGACTCAAGGGCAATAAATAAAGCATTAATAAGTGTCTGACAGGACTTTCAAGTGTACAATACTATTGAAGATTTTTGTGATTTCTAGAGACTGGACTTCAGCAGTGAGTGATGCTGCTGACACATTTATCATTTTGTTTCTTTCCACCTAGGAAAAAGCCATCAATGCAGTAAAATACCTGAGTGCCCTTCTCAAACATTTGCATATACACATAAAGTTATTTCTAACTTTTGCTTCAGGTTCAGTAACTTAGCTTTTAAAAACAAAGATAAGCAAAGTGGAATTAAATTCATGCCATGGGTTCTGTGTCTCTCTTACAGAAGAGCTTTCTGGCTTTCCTTGTTGCAATGGGCATTGTTGTGACACTGGGTGATGCATACTGCTTTTCTAAATTGAACAATCCAAAGGAGACTGACAAAGGTAAGAACAGAGAAGGTCCTCTCACTTGATTGTTCTGTGGTAGCTTGTCTATGTGGAGCAGCCAGGAAGGGCTCAAAATACAAGGGGGGGAGATGTCAGAAAGACACGAATAGGAGGTTTCAGCACCAATTTGTTAAAAGTAGGGAAAACTGAAGTCTTCCCCTGGACTGGGTATGGTTGCAGCAATATCATCACTATTTGTGGTAGGTTGGTGTTGCTGTTCGAGCACATGGAGCTGATGCAGGAGTTGAGAGTGGTTCTGAATAAAGTCTGGTGCCAGACCTGGCTGTTTGGTTGCTCTCATTCATCACATATCTGCCACACTGAAACCGTCTCTAACAAGTGAAGAAACAACCAAGTTCAGGCTCTCAAAATAGTCTAGGTCATAACCCAGAGAACAAAATTACTTCTACCTTACTATTGCCACAAAAAACATTTTCAGAAAACTTCAAATTTTTTTTTCAGCCTTTATGTGGAGGCTTAAAGAACATATTTTGTTTTGCTGCTGTCTTATGCAGGCTGTACGCTGGAAGGAAAACTGTACCCCTTTGGAGAGATCCCAAGGACAGAAAATTGTTTCAGATGCAGCTGCAGCCAAGATGCATTACGTTGCTGCTCCCTGTAAGTTTGCACTTCTTGGTAGCATCATTGACCATAGGAAGACCACAGCTTTGCATTTGCTGGGGATAAATGATTTTCTAAGTGCCACAAGGGAGCCTTTCCTCACACGTCACAGAGCTAGGGCAAGCCATATACAGCTCCTGATCATTTGGATCCTCAGCTGTGTTCACCTTAGCTCACTTTCTGCTGACTGGGCATGGACACAGGTCCTTCCAGACACATCCACCTGGTGCTTGTCTTTGAGGAACTTGTGAACCCCTCATGCTGCAATTAAGTCTTAGCAGGGAAAGTAGGTGTAGGAAGGAATTCGTTCCACAAGGGACTTAAGTGAGTCTCCTCTAAAGGACTTATGATGATCTGAATCACTTTCCAGAGGTGCTTTTCTCTAGTGAATATGCTGACCCTAGAGTGACAAGGCTCTGCTCTGAAGTATCTATCTCCAACAGCCTCCTTCCCTCTTATTCTAGCTTCTCAAAGGGCCAAAATGGCTTGATTATGATCATCACCTTTGCTCAGGTAACAATCTATACCAGGAAACAGCTGCTACATTCTAAGCAAACTGACAGTAATGAAAAAATTAATGGAGATGACATAAAACATGCCAAGACCATGCTTATGTCATGCTGTATAGTGCTGTGCTGGAAATCCCTATGCAAATGCTGTGCATACTGGTACATCTACACAGTGCAGTGCAGCAAAGCATCATTTGAGGCCCTGAAATCTGTAGCTGTGTGGCACTCAAGCTAGCTAGGCTGGTCTTAGCCATAGTTTCAGAGATATGTCACTCAGCATTAGTTGAAGATATAATCACAACCACTGAAGTACTGAATCTTTTATTGCTCTCAATCTAACATTCACTTTCTCTTTGCTAATGACAGCTTTCATACTCCTATTAGTTATGACAAGGAGAACTGTAAAGTAGTTTTCAACAAGAAAAGCTGTGACTATGACGTGGTGCTGAAGAGCGACCCCTTAAAGGAGTGTGCTGTCTATTCTCGTGTGGGCTAACAACCCACCTGCTCTGAACCTTCCTACAGATGCTTTGACATCAAAGAGTAGCTCGGAGACATAGAAGATCTTGTAAGAGAGAGTACTTCACCAGCTCACTTGTAATCTCCTAATTATTCTAATTCAGTATACAAGGTGCATAATCAGATATGCCTCATTTCTGTCATTACTTGCATTGGTGTCACTGAGCTTTGTTGAATACAATAAATCTAGATGAAACATCCAGAAATGCTTCATAATAATTGTTCTTTTTATGTAATAAAACTGGGCGATGTCACCTTCTTTGAGAGATGAATGCATTCACCTCGCTACTCTGACATGTTGTACATCAGTGCCCTGGTACGAGACACTCTCATGCTTTGGAGATTCTGTTCTAGCCAGGGGTCAAAGCAGATATTTTAGCTCACCATGTATCAAAATCTATTATCATTTGGAAGGGATGCACTGTTTGGGACATGCTGTACAATGGTTCCTACTCAGGGTACACAGGGCACACTGAACTGCTACAGGAGTTTTGGCAAGACCCATGCTGCTAAAACCTGTGACCTCTGAAAAAACAGTGAGGATGGAGGATCATAATCCTTTTTCTCCTCCCTCCCCCCCCCCCC